GATTGACCAAAACATTCACTCTCAAAGATAAAATGTATTTTAAGTATAACCAGTAGAGAAACGAGGACACTGAATCACTACAGATCCGATGTCTCTGTTTCATAATAGCTGAATCATGGTAACGGTGACAAGCTTATCAAACATTTATCATTGTTCAGTAAGTATTTAGAAAGTGTTCAAACATTATTTTGCCTTTGTGTGAATTAGATGGGATCGAGCTGAGTTACACTGAGGATAAGTGGGCTCTGTTCTTCATAAGCTATTGTTGTAGACCGCTTATGGGCTGGGCTGAATGAATTATTGAATCCAGATGAATCCTAAACATCTAACCGTTGAAGTAACAATCAAAACATTGTCAATCATACATTTTTGCTGTGTTATTAAGCAATTTTTTTTTGCTCAACGTTAAAATCATTGCAAAAACTAAAATAGGTCAAATATGCAATGAGGACACAGCCCATCTTTTTTGAGGTCAGTCTTCTTGAGGATTTTTTTTTACTCAACAAAAACACATCCCTAATTGAGGGGAACTCGAACGGAATCTTTTTTAAATGCTGCTAATGGGTTTAAGCGGTAGTGTTAACATGATGATGTCACTATGTGAGGTATGTGCGACTAGATGTGTTTTGAGTGTATGTTGATGACAGCGATGGTTTGTGTAGAGACTTCATTTGCTTTATCTTCTTTAAAAACATTAGTGAACAGCTGGTGAAATGGTATTCCTGTAAGCTCTGTTCAGCCTTCGAGAAATTATGGTGTGTGTGTGTATTACTTGTCTTGGGTAGGCACACGTTTATTTGTCTGTGTACTTAATGTGTGTGTGCACATGTTGCTCATGTTGCATCTCGTCTCTTGTCACCATCTGTGCTCCCATTAAGTCACGTCTATAAAACCTATATGACAACAGCTGACTGAAGCCTCAGTTACTACATAGAAGTTGAGATCCAAATAATTGCTGCAGTATACCTCCTCCCACAAGCTCCTTCTTAATTTCTCTTTTTCCAACCTCTCATTACTAACTGATCTTTAGCCATATGTATCTATGGGAAATAATCATCCCTCTGCCTTGATAAAAGCAAAGGGGAAATGAGTCATACCTATTAGGACATACTTATATTTTAATGTGTTATTATAGGTAGACAGGCACTAACTGACACAAGGGAAATAACACATAATTGGTGTAGATAGAGTGAAATTAGTTTGCACTATCTGCCCCTTTAACATTACATTAGTTCGAGCTGATGTGCTAGAGTTGATGTAATGTAAAAAATAACCCCTTCATGTATCTGAAGCCATAGGGTGAATGCTGTCATGTGCAAAGAGGTGCTTTTCCCAAGAGCTCTCCCATGCAGGAATAATTTTCCAATTATTTCCAGTTATATAATCATTATTACTGTGAAATGAAAGACTTCAGACCCTTTTCACATTTTCATATCATTAATATTTCCGTTAGAGAGGCAAAATTGAGACAAAAAAAAACATTGGAAAAACACATTTATGATGGGCAAAACTAATGAGGCGTCAAAGCAAAATGTCTTTTTCACCCCAAAGTGTATTGTTGTTCTACAGCAACATTAAAGATATTAAAGTAATGAAGCCTTCAGAGGCCTCTCAGTGGGCGGTGGAAAACGTTCACGGTATAAATTACACCACTGAACTTGAGTAATGCAGTGATTACGTTACTGATGATAACTTTAGCAGATAATCAGTAGCAGAATACATTTTGAAATAAGTCTTCCCCCTAAATGCATGTGGTTCGCTGCAAAGTGTAATCGAGTTCCTCTCCTGGCAAGAAAGGGCCTCCAGTGAAACAATCGTACTCAGTAAAGTAAAAGAAGTTGCCTGTTTTCTATTTAAACACACAGAAAAATCAGAGCACACTGAAACAGATGACTAACTGTTGTCTGTCTTTTCATTCTGATGCAAACATGAAAGCTGGGTGGACCGTGACATCTGTCTCGTTGATATGCCAGATTTAGCTGGCATGACTAAGCTGTGATGACACCATTGATGTGAATATGTAAAATATGAGCAGATGTTGCAGCAATGTGGGTTTTGTGTTACAAACTATGCACTTAGGTTTCCAGGTAGAGTAGGAGGGATTTAACGGTAATGTGTCTGGAGCGTTTGACTAGAATCCTTTTCATGTATTATTTTGCTTTTCCAATGTTCCAGTGTATTCTAACATTATTCACCATAATTGATGGTACTATCATTAATTCTGACAGTAACAGAACTGTTGCAGTATTGCTGGATTGTAGATCATTAGTGTAAATGAAAAGGTTTGATAACTTGTGATCCCCAGCAGTGATTTATTAAACCTACTTTATCCGTTTAGTATGACACAGAAGGCATCATTTATATGTACAGGCAGTTTTTGTAGGCTCCACTGTTGCAATCCAGCCAACCCAGTCCAGCCAATTCACCCATTCTGCAGTCGCTTCATATCAGTTAAGGCTCAAGTTAAAGTGAAGAAGATGCCAAATGAAATGCCCATGTGATGCAGTTTATTAGTTAGTTATATGCTTGTAAGTTTGCAATAGCACAAAAGAGGAATAGCAATAATTTATTTGCTGAAAGGGATCACAGACGTGGAACCATAAAATCGGTGTGCCACAATGGATGGAAATGCTCCAGCACTACAAAAGAGATAATTCAAAACATGACAAGCCCTCACAGAAAACAACCGAGCTCACGGAGTGCAACACAGAGCTCTAATGTTGCTCCCCTGCACTATTCTTCCTACTTTATACTTAAACCAAACTTAATAACCCAAATGAATGGGTGGTGCATTGTGCTGGTTTGTATTAGTACTGCCTTTGATCCTTGAGCAACGTCACATCAATAAACTGCAATTTATTGTTTGTTTTTTTAACATGTCAGTAATTTAATAATCTCAACTTCTATGAGGTTTGACTCATGACATCAGAAAGTCTAAACTGATTGTGTCATTTGAGGAGAGCTAAATTAGCCAAGTGACTGGTATTAGCCTCAAGAGCTGAGGAAAGTCTGGGCTGTGTCCTAGTTGCATGTTTGCTCTCTAATGCTAAACTGTGTTCTCAGTGTGCTGTGCTGCATCACACCACAAACCAACAGAGTAAATCATACAGAAATTCTAACACTCAAATGAAAAAATTCTTGACTATTGACAGTGTTTGTAATTGACACTATTGCAAAACGGAAACGTAGAAGCAGCTCACAGCTGGGAAAAGTGAAAACAGTCTTAAAGTTGTGGTCTACAGCATGCATGCTGTGTGTGACGTGTGTGCTGACAGCTCAGAAAACATTCAGTAATAAATCCTTGATGCAGCACTTTTACCAGCTATTTCCAATTATTTTGAATTGACAGTTCAGCGCTGCTAGCACCTTAGCTAACAAACAATAATAGTAAATAAACAACAAAAGAATACAGTGTGTGCAAATTCACAAATTTCAACTTCTTTTTTTTGTACTGCGCCCCAGATGGCTTTTGCCCTTTCATTTTCTCTTACGCTAATGTTCTGAACATACATTTCACTTCGCTATACCCATCACTGCTCTAACATCAATTCAGTCAGGACCCCTTTAGTCAAAGAAAACTTTATTTCCATTTGCAGTATTAGATTTGTCAGTATGGCTCTCTTCTGGAGCCTCTCTCCCTTTCTGAGGCCTACGCAGAAAGCCTCTTCCACGCACCTACGTGGAAAGCCTGAGGCAGATAGAGCAAAGCTCTCTGCCCTTCCATGTGCCTACGTGGAAAGCCTGAGGCAGATAGAGCAAAGCTCTCTGCCCTTCCATGTGCCTACGTGGAAAGCCTGAGGCAGAGATCGCAAACCTCTCTGCCCTTCCACACGCCTACTAGGAAAGCCTCAAAACAGAGATAGCACACATCTCTTCTCCTCTGTGTGCCTATGTGGAAAGCCTAAGGTGGAGAGAGTACACCTCTCTGCCCTTCCATGTGCCTACGTGAAAAGCCTTAAGGTGAAGACAGCACACCCCTCTGCCCTTCCACGTGCAAACAAGGAAAGCCTGAGGCAGAAAGAGCAAGCCTCCCTGCCCTTCCATGCTCCTACATTGAAAGCCAAAGGTAGGGGGAGCAGCAGCAATGACCCCCTGGGAACAGAACAGAGCAAGCATCAATGACAAACAGAAATGACACTGACAAGCAAGACACAGCATGAAAAGGAGGAGCTGGGGTGGAGGCAGGTTGCAAAGCAGCAACAGTAGGCAGGCCAGAGCAGTTTAAATAGGGCCCTGAATGAGATTTGCCACATAGAAAGGAATCACGTGATCTATCAGCTGACTCCCTTTCATCAATCAGCTGCTCCATCAGTTGATTGGGCTGTTTGAGATCAGCTGATGTAGCTGGGATGTGAGCAATGTAATCATCTTGGGCACCCTCCCCCCTCTCTGAGTGGCGCCATGGGTGGCCGCCTTTGTCACCTACAGGAAGCTGGCATTATTTATATCCTTCGTGCTAATGGCCATAATGGTGCATCACCACAGTGCACTGATCAAACATAATGTCTGATTACCTCTAATTAATTTGCTCTTTAACTCTGATGAGGACACAGTGGTGTTGAAACGTTAGTCTGTTTACACTATTGAAGGCTGTAAATTGATCAGCGTGCTCCATTCCTTTCTTCTCCCTTGGAAAGTCTCTGTCCCTGAGCTCAGAGGCACCTGATTGGGCTTCATGCTGTTGGATGATGTGCAGGGAATCCTGCTTCAACTAAATGTGTAATTAGTGTTAGTATTTATTGGAATCAGAACGCACACTATAAACGGCTCATGGCAGGTGTGAGCGCAGGGTGGTACGTGGAGTCGCTCTGCAGGCTGCTGTGAGTTTTATTGCATTTCCCAGAGAGAGCTATATGATGTCATCAACATGTGTCTCATCTACAGTTAAGATCCCATTTCCTGGTTTGACAGCTGAACTGGGGATAAGGAGTTTCTGTTCTCATAATATACTCCAGGAGAAGTTTCCTTCCTCGCTCCTGCACTCACACTAGGTGTTTTCTTTTCTCACCCTGACTCTCCCAGTCTCACACAAGCACACACACTGTATCTGAAACATATTTCTGAACAAAACTGTTCTTCAGCTGTTGACATTTCAGAGTAAACACTCTCGGCCCTTTTTCCATTTTTATTTATAAAATGAAGCTGTTGAAAATATAGCAAGCAGTCATTCATTTGTGACTAATGAGACATCAGTAATACTTAATAATATTTAATCATTTCTCCCTTTATGACGAAACACTTGCGTCTTACGACAGAGTCTTTACAAGACAAATAATTTAAGGACAAACATCAAAGCAGAGGGGAAACATGATAAGGATGAGCTGCTGGCTTTGTGCACAAGCTTTGGGCAGGCTCTTGAACTACACATACATTTATACAATCTTGAACATCAAAATAATCACGAAGATCACTCTTCAAAGAACTGACTGTTGTGTTTCCATAACTGCTTTGTACCGTGTCTTGTTCTGCCACAGGAATGCTGTGAGAATGTGTGATACACTCGATGGTGGTAGAACAATATTGTTAAAATCTGAAACCCACAAATTAGTCACAAGAAGAGTTAATAGGTTTAAAAAGTCCTGAAGAGGCTCGAGTTGGGGTGGATAATACTGAAGACCGCTATCATCATGTCTGTTACACATTCAATGCTAAGTTTCGGCAGTATAATGCAAATAAGGCTATCAATTTAAGTTACTGTTTGCTATATATGCAGCATAATGAAATCCAACCTTTGTCCAATATGTAGTTTATAAATTAAAAAATGCAACAAGTATTTCAATAGTTACTAAGGTAAATATCAAGTTGAAATTTTTAAATCTAGATATTATTTTGGCGATTGAAGTCCCAGTTTGCAACAATTTAAAAAATTAATCATTTTATAAATAAACACAGGGATCAAACAAGATTATATTGTGCGACATCACGTTGAATATTAATGTTTCTGTAGATGGTTGTAAAGGCAAACAGCTTCTTTGTGTGATGCTGTGTTTTGTCTACAATATTCAGTGACCCAGTCAGAAAAATACTGTATGTTAATCTGTAGTTCAGTGTTAGTGGATGACTGCATAAAGTAATGAAATAAAGCAATCAGGCCAAGTAAAGCATATGTGTCTTTTTTTGGTTCAACAATACTTGAGTTTCATGCACAAAGATGAAAAAATGATAATCCCTTCTTCAAGGTAAAAACCAAAAGCTGCAGGGTTTTTAAGCACAAAACCATATTTTTGGAGTGAGATATATTTTTTTGTCCATGTTGCCTTAAGGTAAATTTTAAGACAAGGCAGGGAAACAAAACCAGTGTTGAAAAAAAAAAAACATTCTGCAGCTCCATTTCCCCACTGAAACAGTCCACAGGCACAGATGTGGGCATTTACATTTGTGCAACAATCTTGATATGCTGTGCATTTTCCTTGACTTCTTTCGTCATCACTTCAAAATGTGTTTTAGGCCACTGAGACACACAAAACAATCCTTCTTACACACAATTTTTGTAGAGAAAAATGCATCTGCAGAGAATCCCACGGCTCCTGATAGGAAAACAAGACAGTATTGGAAACGAAGTCATTCATTAAAAATACATACATAGACATATACCTGTTTATGTGTAGGGTCTTTTCTGAGATTCAACAGTATCTCCTGCACGAAGCCTTGCAGTTCCTTTGGGCATGTGAGTACACATACAGTGTTAACAGCAGGGGAGTTCATTCACCGGTACAGAAGATTGACGGTGTCTCTGTCTTTCTGCTGCATGTTTGTGTGTGTGTGTGTGCGTGTGTGTGTATTTGCTTCACCCCGTTATATAACATGCAGGTAGGTCGCCTTTGTGTCCACCCCTATTACATTTTTGGCAGTGCACCTGTAAAAGCCTGTATCCCTGCTTGTCGGGTTCTGTATCACCAAGGACCCCTGAGGACTAAGGTAGCGGTTGCCATAGATACGAGCCTGACCCATTGCCGTCAGCTGTGTCAGGTCTGGTGTTTCCCAGGTGATCGTCGCCCGGGGTGTTGCTATCGTCAGGCACGGCAGCTCCACAGCAACCCCGGGTCGTGTGTAGGTCACAGGAGAGGGTCCTGCTGTGATGCGCGGGGGGTAGGCGATGACAATGACGGGAACTGTGAGGACGGAGACTGAAGAGGGGTCAGAACTAGTGGATCTGCAGGTGTAGGTGCCACGGTCGAATACAGAGGCCTTTTGCACTGTTAGTGTTCCATCCTCTTGGACTAGGTATCGGCCTGATTCAGCACTTTCACCCCGGGACAGTACCTTGCCACTGGGCATGGTCCATGTGAGAGAGCCCTGGGTGTATCCGTAGGTGTTAGAAGCAGGGCAATGCAGACGAAGAGTCTCTCCATTAATGATGCTCACCAAGGGAGCCGTTCTGGTGCTCACTGCTGGCTCTGAGACGGGGCTAGCTGAGCGGGGTGGAGGGCCAACTGGACGAGGTGCAGCTGGTACAGACTGGACTCTGTCTAGAGGCTTTTGAGTAACTGGGATTGTTGGATGAAGCGTCTCAGGCAACACTGGCCTTGAGTTCAAGGATTGAGCTGAATCCAATGAGCGAGGCGCCTCTATAAAACCGGCCCTTTCCACAGCCGGTCCCCTGTGTGGAGATCTGGCCTCCTCCTGTGACTCAGACACCTCCAGCTCCACTTGTATTCGCGTCTGTCCTCTCTCACCTCTAACGACACAAACCAAGGTCCCGCCATCACTGGCCCGCACGCCTCGCAGCTCCAAGGAGCCGTTTCGGTGCACAATGAGTCGGCTGCCGTAGTAAGGAGCTGGCAGCACACCGTTACCAGGCAAAAGCCAGGCCACACGAGGGGGAGGGGACCCTTGGGAGGGGCATGGTAAAAGAACAGTTTGGCCTTTCACCGCTCGCTGCTTCACTGTTGTTACCACACCCATAGCTGTGTTAGCTCCTGTATTACTAACAGCTATACCAGTACCACTTGAGCCACCACTATTCCTGTTGTTGTCATTGATCACTCCTACATTACTACTCGCACTAAACCCATTTCCTCTTAGTGTGCCAGTGCCAGCTCCATTGTTAGACACACTGCTGCCAAACACCTCAACATTTCTAGTACCACTTATCCTGCCATTGTCTCTACTGGTGTTAGCATCATTACCTGCCTTTCCTGCAGTGACTTCATTATTATTAGTACCATAATTTCTTTCTACACTATCTCCTCTAACTGAGCTGTGACCGTTACCCACACTATTACCATTACTTGTAATGCCAGGTCCATTTCCATTTATTCTGCCGTTATCTGCTTTAAAGCCTACATTCCTACCTGCGCTCACCCCGACACTGATTACACTGCTACCAAGCTGTGTTGTGATTCCACTGACAGGCTTGTTCAATCCATCTCTACTATCACCCCTGAGGGCAGGATTAAAGCCACTGGTTGCTATGTTAGTGTAGCCAGTGTTTGGTACAGTGTTTCTTATCCCGCCATTATTATCCCTGTAGCCACTACTGCTGCTGTTATTGCTGCCAAGCCTGCGCGTGTCTCTGTTGGTAAATCCATTCTGGTTTATCCCTGCATTATTAACGCTGTCTCCTGATCTACTGTTATAACTACTGCCAGGCCCATTGCTTGTACCCCAACCTCTTCCTCCAACATGGCCACTCAGTCCATAGTTAGGAGCCTCCACCTCCAGACCTACCACCATGCTCCTCTCCCCGGCTGAGTTGCTCGCTCGGCAGGTATAGTTTCCCGTGTCGATCTTTTGAGCCAGACGGACCTCCAGAGTTCCATCCGAAACGACTACGACCCGCTCAGAATAAAAACCAGATCTCGAACTTCGTGGGATGACACGGTGCGTTGGGGAAAACCACGTCACCGTCGGGGCAGGATCTCCTGTGGCATGGCAGCGAATTTTGGCGGTTGATCCCTGACGTACTTTGATGATGTTAGAGCTTCTGTCATCAGCGAAGATTGGTGGGGACATCATCATGACCTTTACTTTGACCTGAATTTGAATAAAAGAATTAATGACATGTAATGTGAATAAGTAAATTAAAGCGTTGGTTAACTATAAAGTAATACATCAAACATTTTGATTTGATTTTGAAGTATAAATGAAAATGTACATCAATGAAATAAATATTCTCCTGCATGAGGAAAATGTTTTCTTACCTTCATGGTATCTTGACCTCCTTGATTCTCAGCATAGCACGTGTACTCTCCTTCCTCTCCCATACCCACTGCTGGAACCAGTAACGTCCCATTGTCAAACACAGTTAGCCTCCGTGCTCGCCCTCCTCTCTCCTCCCCCTGCAACACGCTGTTCACCATGGTTCCATCTGGTAGGCTCCAACGGACAGCTGGGTCAGGCAGTCCTGATGCCTGGCAGTCCACCTGCAGGGAGCAGGATCATTATTGCTATCATTTAAAAGTTTTTGTAGCTTTTATTTGGATGAAACTGAACTTTTGAGAGCTGTTGAGAAATAGTGTCTCTGTAAGGAGGAGTAATGAACACAGTACTATACATTTATGCTTTGTTAAGGCTGTATTCGGGCCCTTTAAAAAAGAAATCTCACAGCAGAAAACACAGCAAAGCAACACAAATTTAGATGCATTCAAAAAAACATTTAAAGCTCATTAATGTTTAAATCAAATTAAAAATGAAGGGCAACAAATTCCCACAATACGGTGTCCTCTTTCTTGCATTTCACCCCGCTTGACATTGTTTTTCATTGAGCTGTTAAATATTCATGTGTGAAGTACTATCCCCTGAAGGCCGCTGTTGATGATTCATAACAGGCTGTGACCTGACAGGTCGTTCTTTTCTGTTTGAGTCAAAAAATATGAAGCACTTTTTGATCAGAAAAAAACAACCAAAGACACAGCTTGAAGCTGTAGAAATGTTTGGCACCACGCCCAGCGATAGAAGACACCCAGAACACATCAAAAAATAAGTCTCTAAAAGCTCAAAATGTGTAGGTGTTGGAGATGGACTGTTTTAGGTTTAGGCAGGCTTTGTTGCAAGTTCCCAACTGTGGAACAGTGGTGTGTGTGATATATAATAAATAGCTGTTATTTGTTAATTGAATAAACATCATTATCGGGAGCAAGGCAGAGATGAAATATGATTCTGCTCTTTTTCACTTAGCTCACCTTCAGTGGTTTGCCAAATGACACCATTTGATTGAGTGGCTGCTTAGGCTCGATCTTGGCAGGCTTGGTCGCCACAGAGACACGCAGGAGGCGATAATCATCTGAGACCTTGTTACGTGCGATACAGAGGTAGTCTCCAGCATCTCTCTCTGTTACTGCATGGACTGACAGGGTGCCATTAGGGTGCACCTTCAGACGGTGGTCAAAACTGAAATTCAAATATGGACAAACACACACACGAATCACAAAAAGATATTAATGAGACACGATACGTACAGAATTACCACAGGATATATTAATACAACCTTAACACAAACCCACATCCCCAATACCTGAAGTGCATGTCCACCAGTTTCCTGTTGGGCGTCCTCCAGATGATGATGGGAGATGGGTTGCCAGTTACAGTGCAGTGGAGCTGCAGACTCCCCCCATAGTGGACAGCAGTGATGGAGGGTGACGTAGAAACAATACGGGCTTTACTGAAGGGGGAGACGGGCAATGGATTCAAAGCAGCTGAGGCCCCACTTTTGTCAGAGGGGGAAGAAGAAGTAGCTCTTGTGTTGTTTCCAATACCAGGTGAGACTTTGGTGTTCTTTGTGGAGGGCGGAGTGAGAGGGGAGGGTTTTGTTTTGTTGATGCTGGGCAAGTGTGTGGGGGAAGCAGTGACCGGTTTATTGATTGTAGAGGGTGAGTTAGTGGGATTGGGTTGGTGAGGGTCAGAAGATGAGCGAGAAGAACCAGGGGTGAGCAGAAAGGTCCTGGATCTGTCAAAGGGGGGTGAAGGGGAGAGTCTAGCGGTGTTAAATGGATTGGAGGGGTGGCTAGGTATGGACAAAGTTCTGTCTTTATGTAGTGAAGATGAAGGAGACGGTTTTTCTGTGGCAACTGCTTTTGCCCCTTCATTTCTTGTTCCCCCATATCTCCTTTCTCCTTCTGCTCCCTGTTCAATTTCTACCTTCACTGTTCTCTTAACAGCTCCAACAACATTACTTGCCGTGCACTCGTAATTCCCTGAGTCCTTAAGCCCAACTCCTCGAATATGCAGTGTCCCATTGGGCAAGACAAAAAGGTTGCCATGGAGAAACTGGGATGGGCGAACGAGAGTCCCATCTGGGATTCGCCAGCGCAGAGTTGGTGGCGGGGCACCGCGGGCAGAGCAGTGAGCATAAACAGGCCTCCCTGGAGACAAGAGCAGGTGTTCCTCTCTGGGTTGCTGTATCACCGGGGGCAACGAGGACACGTGTACACGCACAGAGGCACTGGCAGCACCTGCTGAGTTGGAGGCCACGCAGCGGTACACTCCCCTGTCACTAGGTAAAGTTACTGAGATATGCAGGGTTCCGTTTGTGTCCACAGTAATGCGGCTGGTGGAGGGGGCAGAGGAGGTCAGGACAGAACGATCGGGTAGAACCCAGGAGAGCAGAGGGGTGGGAACGCCATCCGCCTGGCACTCCAAGTGCACCTCTCTGCCCTGATGAATGGTTGCTTCCCTATAGCTTGCCAGCTGCATCCGAGGGGGGCGGGTCCACACTTCCAGGGTGGTTAGCAATCTGTCATGGAAGAGTAAGCACACACACCCTCAATATAGAAACACATCAACAAAGTTTAAGCGTTTCAAATATACATTTGGGATGAAAACCAAACCATAAATATAAAATGACACATTCAGGAAACACCCAAAGGCATACATTAACAATTTAAAAAAATAATCCTGATGGATACATGGGTCACACACACATACGGTTTTCATAAGGGGAGATTTGAACATGACTTTAGGCTACTTAGAAATGTTAAATCACGTCAGTCTGCAACTATTTTCACCTGAAAAGCAGGTGAAATACTAACACAGCATACATAATACTTTGTCATTAAATTGCAGTTTGCCTTAGGCCTATGTAATTAATACTGAACATATTTTGTCCCTTAGTCATTATAATTGAATGGTACATGTGGCATTAATATTCATTACTGGTATCTGCAGTCTCACCTGTCACGACCCAGAAAGCTCTGTGCACTGCAGATATATGTGCCCCTGTCCTGCAGCTGAACATTCTGGATAACAAGGGTGCCATTTGGCAAGACCTCAAAACGCTGAGCCCTGGAGTGGATTGACATCACCGCTCCTGAGAGGGAGGGAGAGACAGTCAGACAGACAGACAGACAGAGCGCAGCAATGAGGAGACAGAGTAGGAAAGAAAGTTAGAGAGTGAGTAAGAGTAAGAGGAAAGGAGGATCAGGGACATGCCGAGTGGCACAGCTGGAAGTAAACCCAGTGATGCAGTGCACAAAATGTTCCATTACTTTCTTGCAATATGTGTTTCCCACATGGCAGGCGAGAGAAAAGCCTATTGTGTGCATGCCAGTGCGTAATGCTGGGTGTTAATGGGTTATTTCATCAGTATAAAATGTGGTCATATTCATTTAGTACACACTAAAGCTGAGACTGATTTTCCTTTCAATTCAATGACCTCAGGATGTAAACACAAAACTTTACTTTTTCTAGTTTTAAAGGTCAAGGTAGTTGCCGTTTTTCTCCATATCAAGAGCGGGGTTATTTACATATATATTTGACCTCTGGGTGAAAAATAAGCATTTCTGTGTTTCCTGGCATGATGAAAAAAATATAAGCCTGAAGCCTGTTTCAAAAAGTAAGTTTATGGAGTAATCTGGAAAACTTTGCAGAATTTTTACATCAGTTCATGGACCTAATTTGACACGCCTCCAAGTGGATATTCAAGGTACATGTAAATGTAAATGTGAAGATAAAACTGAAACCTGATTTATACATTCCCACACATTTTTATAGAAAAAATTTTCTTGACTTTTTAAAGACCCATGATAAAATTTCCATGACCACTTTCAATGTATGACACAAACAGAACTGTCCAGTATACTTTACTTTAAAATGTAAATGATATTATTAAAAGCAGTGCGCAGACATGAAGCAGTGCAGTGCTCCGTGCCTTCAAACTACCATGCTCCTTTTTCAGAGCAGTTAAAACAAAACTGAAATGCGCATTGGCATTCCAAGTGGCGACTGAGCACCCTACCCTGCCCATGTCAATTGCCTCAACTCAAAAACGTGGTACAAATTAAAAGTAGCAGTGAGGCTTAAGTATGGAAACTAGGGATTCACCCAAATGACCCTACATGTGAATTCACACTGTCACCTGTTATTTTTCCTGCCCCACTTGCCCGGTGTTATTCAAACATATCAGATTCAGAATCTATTCAAACATAATTCAAGCTGGCTGGCCCAGATGGAAGGAGAGACAGAATGCGGGCAGAAAGCAAGGAACGTACGTTACGGTATCCCAAACATCACCTGTGTACAGCTGCAGAAAATAAATTCACATTATGTTACATTATGTGGAAGAATATTTACAGGAGATTACTGTAGCAATTTCATTACACACAAGAAAAAGTCCATGATTTTTCTAAAACTGACAAGGACTTCACTTATTCCATGAATTTACCAGGCCTGGAAATGTGTTTGTGGAATTCCATGACTTTGACCCTGAATGTTAGACCCTTGTGTTTTGTTTCAAATATGTGCATTTGTGTGTGTGCTGAAATAAATATGTGCATATCTGCTGCACTGTGTATACCTGTAGCAACCTTGGTCCATGTGATGGTAGGTTTCGGCTCTCCTTGAGCTTCACAAGCCAGCCTGGCAGTGCTCTCTGCTGGGAACGACACTGTCCTGATGTGTGGGTCTGCAATCCTCGGCCTGGATCTCACCACTGGGGCCTGTAAAAAAGTTTTAGGAAAGATATTATAGTGGCAGAGTAATGCATAATAGAAATAATGATTATGACAAAAAGACATCTGAGAGCATGGCTCCGCTAATCAAAATTCCTCAACTTGCAAAACTGCTGCATCATGTTGGTCGTCTTGGAGTTTTAATTTTTCAACTAAACAGCATGTGATTGGAGGACTTGCAAGTGAACAACAATTTCAGTACAGCAATGCATGAAAAATGAGAATTGTCTAATAGCAAGGGAAAAAAGCAAATCTACATTATCACCACCGTGTAATCAACATATCATTTGGCCAAGCGCTTTCTGTATAACAAGTTTCAAGGACATAAATACAACACCTAACTCAAACTATAGCTGAATCAAAACTTAGCTGTGGAGGAAATGATGAAGACAACGACTGCGTTTACATGGACATGAATAACCCGTTTAACGTAACAGAAACACAAACAAAGGTGGCAGCGACCATGTGTCAGTGTTGAGTAGAGTTTTGTCTTTTGGGAATGAAAGAGGCTGAGTATTTTCATCCACTGCTCCCCCTGTCCTAGACACAGTGACAGGCTGGCATCAGTGTCAAAGACAGTGTTATAACAGTGGCACATCTGCTTTCAGGACTAGGGGAGTAACTATTATGTGTGTGTGCATGTGTGTGTGTGTGTAGTTGAGAGAGAGACAGACAGAGACACAGATGCAGACAGCAGTTGGCGAGGAAATGAAGAAATGGAAGTAAATGTACAGAGTACTGTTTAATATTTCCTGCTGCTCTCATCTCCTATCGTCACTTTGTGTTTGTAAACCTCACAGTGCCTGCTTGAATAGACTCCAGTAATCTGTGACCTGGTTACTAGTATTTATCATGTAAACAGGGAAAATAATTAACCCAGTTTCTTTGCACTCATGTAAACACCTTATTGGGAATATGATCATAACCGGTGTAAACCTCATAAACAGGAAATCCATGTGCATGAAAAAGCACTCAATTATACATCAAAGCTTTATTCAAAAGTAGCCTAACTGAGAAACTGAGAGTAACATTAATATGTAAACTCTGCAGTGAAACTTTTGGTAAAAAAGTTTTTAATTACTTTTATTTTTTAAACAGTGAAGAAATTTTTAAGCATTGTTCAGGTTCACAAATTCAATATAGCATTACTGTAATCCCAGATTTAGAATCATTGGTGGAAGACCCAATGGTTCGGGCTGCAGAGGCTTGCCAAGAGAGCTCTGGAAATTAATTAACAATTGATTATCTTAAATCCCTTGGGATTAGGGTCTCAAAACACATAATGTTGCTGATTAAGGAACATATGTTCTTCATCTCTTCCTCAGATCTGGCAGAGCTCGGGAAAATCCTTGAAATTGAAGAATTGTCATAAACATCCCTTAGGTTTAATAGGAGGTCATGTGGATACAGATTAGACTATTTTCAGATCTATTGCGCATTTCTGCTAAGCTTTTGCCCAAGGGCTTGCACAGTCGGGTTTAGAGAGTGTGTGTGTGCATAAGTGTGTGTTATTATTTTCTGGGCCAGCACTCAGAAAAGAAATGTTAATTTGAGTTCCACTTAGCTGACAACAAAGAAAAATAGCTCTTTATATATGAACTGCAAACTACATTTAAGAGTGCACTTAAACAAATGACTAATTGAATGAATGACTGAAAGCAAGGAGCAGAAAAATGGGGAAACATTACATAAATTAGCAATTAAATTAACAAATAAAAACCAAATTGTTGTCTCAGCTTGGCTCTTACTCTTGTCTTAATGTATGTGTTTGCTTTAAGATCCATTTCGGGTGAAATATTCTGCAAAATGGCAATGCTATGTGATCTGAATCGATTTGAACTCACCCCAGGGGCGGCAGGAAGCGAAGGGGAAGGGGGCCAGCGTGGCCTGCTGCTGTGTGAATCGGGGATAGAATTAGTCCCAGGGTTCTTCCAGTCAGTAGGGGGTTGACTCTGGTTTGAACCCCCAGAAACAGGCCTCCCTCTGGGATCAACTTGGATGATGCTCGGTCTGTCTCTGGATGATGCTGTGGTACTTGTTGATGTCATTGCCGTGGTAGTAGTAGATGTACTGGGTGTAGCTGCTGTAGTAGTTGGAGAAGTTTCAGCTAAGATGGTAATTCTAGTACTGCTAGTAGGAGTAGTAGGTGTAGTAGTAGTGGGGTTAGGAGTTGTGGGAATAGCTTTGAATGAGGTTGTAGTGCTAGTAGTGGTAGTAGTAGTAGTAGTAGAGGGGCTAGTTGAAGAAGTAGTAGTGGTAGTGGCAGGAGTAGATGTAAGAATAGGAGTTGTGGTAGTAGTAGTAGTAGAGCTAAGAGTAGTTATAGTACTTCTGGTGGTGCTAGATGTTGGGATAACACTGGTAGTTGTAGTAGATGTGCTTGGACTTGTAGTCGTGGCAGTGGTTGTAGTTGTTGTGGGCACTATGTCATCACCAGCTGTAGGATTAGTAGTAGTAGTAAATATACTTGTAGTGCTACCAGCAGTACTAGTAGATATGCTCTTGAGAGTAGTAGAAGGTGTGATTTTTGCAGTAGTAGTTGTAGCTGCAGTGGGGACTGTGGAGGAAACAATGGAGGAAGACGTGGGTGAAAAAGAGGTAGAGGAGTGGGACACATATGATACACCCCAAAGATTCCTCTCCAGCTCTCCACTGTGTTTGCTTGAGGGTTTATCATCATGTTTGCCTGAGGCTGAGTCTGCTTCTCTGTGTGTCTGTATGCCATGTGTGTGGCCGTGTGTGTGCGCCTCATGTGTCTGTGCAGTCGTGGTATCTGAGCGAGTGGGCGCTGGTGTTGGTGTGTTGAAGAGTGTGGACTCTGCAGTGTCTGGGATGTTGTCTGAGTGAGTCACAGTGTCTATATGTGTCTTTGTGTGAGAGGGGGATAATGAGGTGAGAGAGGAGGTAGAGGGAGTCAATGAGGGGGAGGCAGATTTTAAAGTGGAAATGCCATCAGTGTTAGAAGCAGGTAGAGACAGAGGATTCAGTGCCACATCATTTGAAGCAGTCCTAATATGGTCACTCCGTGTCAACACAGTCGCTGGAGATGTGGTTGTTGACGCCAGCAACAACACATTAATTTGATCTGTGGTTGTATCAGGTGTTACAGTTTGTGACCTTGGGTTTGCAGGGTCAGGGAGAGGTCGGGGAGGGGTCAAAGGGCGCCCCCTGGGCCTATTGATGATTCGTTTTCGCTGTCCAATTCTCCTGCGGGAGTTCCAAGGGCTTTGAGGCCGGGAGTTGGGAACCAAATTAGGGAAGAGTCTCTGCCGGGGGTTCTGAGGCCTGGTTCTAGATGGACTAGTGTTTGCTTCTAGCTCACCTCCTTCGCTTGGTTCAGGGACAATTTCATTTGTTCCTGAGATTGGCTTAGATGTGACTGTCTCTCTCTGTGTCACTGGGTTTGTCACTGTCTCTGTCTGTGGAGATGTGTTCTCTGTCTCTCTCTCTGTCTCGTTCTCTTTATCTGTCTGTGTTTCTGTTGGCGTCTCCATCTGTACCTCTGAGTCTGTTTCAGAGTCTGTATTTGGCTCTGTGTGAGTTTTTGTGTGAACGGGGTAAATGAGCTGTAGGCCTTCCTCTTGTAGATCAGTGTCATCAACAGATGACCCTTCTGTTTCTGCTCCCTCAGCTCTGCTTCTCTCTGTATCATCATGTCCCTCGTGTCTTCCTGTGTCTTCACCTTTGCCTCCTCCCACTGGCTCAGCTGTGGGCTTTCCTGCTGCAACGGGCTGGCTGTTATTGGCGTGAACAGTCTTTTGTCGTATCTTAGCGAGGAGGTCAGCCCATTTCTGAGGGTCTATCCTTTGTTTGTTAGCGGTAATTCTCCGTCTGTTCTCAAATCGGTTTCTTCTCTGGTCAGTAGATGATATAGGCCCTCCTCCTCTTCTCAGGGGGCCTTCTCTCGTAGGTCCACGTCTTCTGGGTTTTCCAATTGGATATCGTCTGTTTGGGGGAGGTTGGAGAGGTCGTAGCCGTCCCCTATTAGCGACAAGAGTTCTCTCTTCTTCCTCCTCTCCAGCCCCCGATCCTTCCTCCATTAGTAATGGTGCTCGTATCTTGGTTGACCGGCCAGCGGCTGACTGTGGACCTCTGGGAAATGAAGTCATAAGTGGAGGAAGATATTGTGAGTTTAATTCTAGCTGCATAGACAGAGAGTCACTACCATACTGATTGACCGCAATGCAGCGGTAATGACCAGAATCCCTCGGAGAAGGCTTACGCAGAAAGAGACTCCCATTTGATTGCATAATGAGCCCACCTGAAACCGCTAATCCCTGCCTTACTATGTTTCCATCTGGTAACACCCAACTCATATGAGGCGCCGGTGAACCAGATGCTTGGCAGGACAGAGTGATGGGCTCCCCATCATTTCCGGTGACAGGAGGTGCCATTTGCTCTCCTGAAGGTGGCACAGAGGACTCCTCCACTGCCAGGCGCATGGGGAGAACATCTACATCCTTGCCTGCCCGGGCTATGCAGTAGTAGATCCCTGCATCTGAGAGCTGCACTTTGTTTAGAAGTAAACCAGAGGTTGAAGCTTGGAGCCTACCATCTGGGCTGCTGGAGGGGGTGATGAGCTTAGATCCATCTGGGAGAACCCACTGAACTTCAAGGTTACCAGAACTTAGAACAGGACATAATAGCTCCGCCTTACTGCCTGCAACTGCTGCCAGTGCCGTGGTGGTATGATTAGCTGAAATCATCACCCACTGCTGAGAGGCAGAGGAGGATGCTGAGGGATGAGAAGCACGGTCAGGATGAGCAGAAACTCTTGTTGAGTATATAAGTTGAACTTTATGTCCGTTAGATTGTGCTCTGTTGAGCTGAATGCTAATGGCTGGCTGTAGCAACCATTGTGGTCTGGCTTTAATAGAAGCTTTGACTCCAGTGTGATAATATCCGTCTGTCTCTGCTGCCTGCCTGTAGCGGTAGGCCAATGCCGGGGCTTTACTCAGCATGATCTCCCTCTCCAGGCGAACTGCAGTCTCACTGTAGTAAGCCAGGATTCTCCAAAGTTTCTCATAGCTGTGTCTCTCCACGGGGCACTCCAGGGAGAGTGACAGTGCAAGGGGGAGAGGAGAAGAAGAGGAAATGGAGAGATCTGGAGGAGGAGCAACATCCTGGGACTCCGAAGAGTGAGTGATGTTGCAACCCAGATCGACACTGTTACCCTGGTGATCAGACAGACCCAGAGATGCAGTGCCTAAAGGCTCTCTGAAGGATTCACTTGATTGGATTTCAACGAGTTCTGCCTCCAAAGGTGTGTCTCTTCCAGGGGAGGGGATGACAGGTGAGGTGCACGATAGGTCAGCCTTCTCAAGTAGGCCCTGACCTTGAAGGGAATTAGGCGAGGCGCAGATTGGACACTGAGGGCCGCTGGGACATTTCATTAAGCCTAATTGAAAGAGAGAGGCAGAGAAAATTATGTCATAAAAGACGGCGTTACCATCCCTGGCATATCAAATGTGTATAACAGCATACCAACTATACAAACATATTAGTGCACATTTCAGCTATCAACACATATTAGTGGTGTCATATATTAGTCATGCCAGATCTTCTTAAGTATCCATTACCCTTTATATCTCTTACTAATTCGGTATGGTTACTTCATCTACTCGTAAATCAGAAAAATGCATCACTTCATTATTACACAGCAATCATTAGCCTATATTTCAGCTGCCTGCACACATCAATGCTGTCATCGTGGATTAGTCATGCCAGGTTAAGTCTGGCATATCAATGAGAGATTTCACGGTCCAGCCCTCTTTCACATCTCAATAACAGCCACAAGACACACTGGAAGAGATACAGAAAATGAAGGAAAACAGAGAGGAGTTTGTGATGAAAAGCAGGTGAAGAGATGTTAGAGGTATCAAGATAACAAAACCGGTTGTATTAGAAAGTGTATTTATCCCATCATTCTATCATCTGGCCGGATTTGACATCTTATATTGAAGATTTTAGATTGCTTAGAGACTGGAATTATCAACAAATAAGTCTTCTGTTTCTGAATCCATTCCCCATGTTGCGTCTTAACTCTCCTCCTTATCTGTTTCTTCTCTGGTCTCTCAAGCAGCCCACATGCTGTATTAACCGCCGCATGTCTGCATCTCTGACTGAATCAAACTGGCTCAGAGACACCACCAACGACTAACACAAAGCACATGTGCACATGGGAGACAAAACAACAGATGAAAACAAATAATACTGCAGACAGGACAGTCACCTGGATGAGCCAGACTCCAAGTGAGAAACCAGTTCATCCTGCAGTCACAGCTCCATGGATTCGCCTGCAGCACAAGAGTCTCCAGCAGAGGCGCTGTGGCTAATGTCTCTCTGGGCAGAGTAGTTAGACTGTTGTTGGACAGGTCTAGGTGTCTACAGGAGGGGAAAATGGCAAAAAAGAAGGTATGAGGAAGGGGAGGAGGAACACCAATGTTGAATCAAAGTCATAGAGGAATGGATGTAAGAGTGGGAGTGGGCATTGAGAGCTGACAGGTTCGGAGTAAGACAATCATCCGTCATTTTTATCACCTTCATGTTCAGACAGCAGTATTAACACAAGGGAATCAGAAAAGGGTTAAGAGATATTGCTATAGCTTTAGTGTTAGAGGTACACTTGTCTTTATAGACGGAACCACAATGTTTGTTTACAACAGTTTGCAGGTAGAAAACCCCTGTGTCATGTACACACGATTTAATGGGGCTGAGAAAATAAGGGTGAGGAACAGTTGAGAAAATGATTAAGTCTTGCTGTGTATGGGAGTGTCGGATAACAATGAAGCGTGGAGAGGGGTCGGGTTTTTTAGATTTCAATCTGTCAAGAGCAAACATGCTCAAAGACAGCTCTGGATTCAGTGTCTGAAAAGGGAGGAGATTTTGGACAGAACAAAGGCTTGTGATGGTCGAAAAGACAAAGAGCCATATAGTGTCAGGAGTTGGGAAAACCTAGCACCCTAGCCTTTCGGGGGGGATTTTGTGAAAAGTAAGCTTTATGTCTCACTTCATTTTCAGTTATCAAACAAACAGCTTATTTGAGGTTGTTGGCGTTGTGTTAGTTAGGCTAAAGTTAGGTTGCTTAATGTTACTCTCGCACATTGAGGCTGGCGAACCAAAGCTGTTTTTAAGTTAACATTAAGTTGGTTAGCACCGTCGCCTCACAGCAAGAGGGTTCCTGGTTCGATCCCTTCTGTGCGGGGTTTGCATGTTCTCCCCGTGTTAGCGTGGGTTTTCTCTGGGTACTCCAGCTTCCTCCCATAGTCCAAAGACGTGCAGGTTGGGGATAGGTTAATGGTGACTCTAAATTGTCCGTAGGTGTGAATGTGAGTGTGAATGGTTGTCTGTCTCTATGTGTCAGCCCTGTGATAGTCTGGTGACCTGTCCAGGGTGTACCCCCTGCGACCCTCAAGAGGATAAGCAGTTAGAAAATGGATGGATGGATGGATGGATGGATGGATGAAACTGAGACACTATGATTTCATAATCCGTGTCTGTGGTTTTAATGTATTATGCTATGTTCACACTGCAAGCAATAAAGTTACAAACTGCTAACTGTAGCCAGATACACTGTCGCTGAGTTGCTCATGATGTATACAGCAGGTCAGTAAGTTAGTTTAGTTGATGTTTAGTTGATGAGTCTTCTGCTTTCACATGTAATTCAAATCAATTTCCAGTTGTCTACCCTGAAGTGATTGTTGTTGTTGGCATGGCATCACTATGGTTTCATCTGGACCAATAACCAGCCATGGAAGCGTTGCCTTTTTCATCAGGCTGTTCTTTTTCCTTGAGGAGTGTTAAAAGTAAACTTATATAATATTGTAACTTCCCCGACAACGAGTATGACATTATGTTCTCTAAGTGTTAAAGCTCACCTGAGTGTGGAGAAATAATATGTATTCAGGAGGGACAATGTGCACAGAGTTTGAGGGTGCAGCTGATGCAGCCTGTTCCCTTGCAGACGCAGCAGCCTGAGGCTAGGCAGCTGGAGCAGGGCCCGGGGGTGGATGTGCTGGAGGAGGTTGTGATCCAAGTACAGACGCAGCAGTGAGGTCAGGCCAGAGAAGGTCAGAGATGAAGAGATCTCTCTCAGCTTGTTATAACTCAGCTTTAGTATCTGCCGGTGGAAGGGGAGGGATATGAAGTGAGAGGAAGCAATGAAGAATTAAAAGAGCAATTAAATAATGGGCAACAAAGCTGATGAAGAAAGCAAGTCTATGCTCCCATCATAAGTCTGTCACTGGACACCACATGCTTGTAAATTGAATTTATGACAAATCATGTGAGGGGAATTGGAATGAGGATGAAGAGTTGGGTGAAAAACTCTGTAAGCAAACATGACTTAACACAGTCTGTTTATTTTCAAAATATGGGGAAATACTTGCAGCAGCACATGACCTCACAAGTAAAAACTGAGAAAATAGCCCACAGCACATAACCAGAGGATGTATTCATGCTGGTAGTTTATCGATTCAAAGCAGGGAAGACTAAAAGGATATTCTAGCAGTGGGGGTCTTCAACTTTTCAAATATGAAATTTAGCCCTTTATCCTCAACAGAAGACTCGTGGGGATCTATTGCTATTCCAGTCATGTGTGGAGAACTCACCAAATTTTAAGAAGGCACACCATGAAAACCACACTGTGGAATTGTGTTTTTGTGAGGCTTATGATAAATCTGCTCTGCAGGAAGGCTACTTAGCTGGCAGAGTTCCAGCTGCTGACAGATCTCGCACGTGAAGATGTCAGCACATGGAAATATGGATCCTATTATCACACAATGGCAAATATATCAGCATCTGCCTGGGAGATGAAGGGAACAATTGCTCGTTGAGTAATATCACTTCCCCACGGACTGCTAACTCTGCCCTTAGGTTGCTGCTAAAATGTCCAGTGTGTTTCCTGTCAGTGAGCAGTGAGAAGAATGATGGCGCATAAATTATGCATTCGTTGTACAGAAATTAGAAAAATGTGAACAGAATCATGTAAATTGTCGTTTTAATTTGCACACTGCTTTCACAGTTGAAATGTAAAATTAATTCTTTTGCTAATCAATTTTTATCAAGAGGGTGACTGCAAGATTTAGGCATATTTATCAGTGTCGTGTCCTCTCTATATTATATCAAACTCTTGACAAATGCTGTGTAGCTCGATAATCTCTTCATTACTCATACTGTTAAAAACAGAAATCTCTCCTGTCAAACTGTTTAACTGTATTCATCTCTCATAGTTAGGGGGCTGTGCAGACTGTAAACTATAAGTACAGCACATGTTGGAAGTTTAAGAGCTGAGCTTTCTGCAACAAAGCACATTTGAAATAGTGCAGGATCCTCCATATGGTCCTCCCTGCCTGAGGTTGGAGAGGGATTAAAGTACATTTCATGGAGGCTTGGTCCAGGTTTGATTTACACAACTCTGTACTGCAAAAACCTTCATCGCAGAGGAGTCAAAGGTTAAATATGTGAGGAGACGATGATTTATTTTCCCCATTAACAGCCATATATCTTATAATCCAGCATCAATAGTTAGGGTTGGCAAAGGAGAGTTCAGGTCATTCGCAGTGTATGCTGCTGTTAGCTGCAGGAAATGCAGATCTACTGCTAGCCCCATCAGGAAGAACTGTAAAACAAAAACAAGAGGCATGTGCAGAATCATCTGCACTGCCTCAAAACTTTGGCTTTGCATCATTTTGTTGATTATCCTCTCCAGTAATCATCCGCTAGTTTGGTTATGAATGGAATTCCCTCTTTTTTAGTCTTATACTGTAATATTATTGGGTCCAGTGCATGCTGTTGTTGCTCCTCCTTCTGTTTACCTGTAGTGATTTCATATCCCTGAATGCTCCATCTGGGAGATGGTAGAGGTCATTGCTGTGGAGCATCAGAAGCTCCACCTTCTTTAGCCCAGCCAAAGAGCTATCATGGATGCTGCTGATGCTGTTGAATCTGCAGGGGCACAGAAACAGCATCATGAACCTGATACTTCAATAAGTCAACAAATATTATTTTTTCCATATTAGCTTAATTAAAGAAGCAGTGTGTAAGATTTAGGAGGCTTTAGTGGCATCTAGTGGTGAGGATTGCAAATTGCAACAAGCTAAAACTTTGAATTCCTGCAGTGTTCATTGTTCAGGAAGTTTTTACCAGCAGTCCTCTTATCTGCAGAGGTCTCTTCCTCTCCAAAATGAATTAACTTTGTGATTAAAACCAGCAGAAACACTGAATAAAGAAGCTTCAGGGTACAAATACAGGCTGCTATTCTAGCACCTGCTTAAGTATGCTCTGCTTTTCTCTCTGATAACTTGAGATCTAGACTTTCAGGACGTTTTTACCAGGAGCCACATTGTCTGCAGAGGTCTCTTCCTCTCCAAAACAAACAGCCCTGGTGATTTAAACTGTAAAAACATTCACTACAGCAGTTTCACATTTAAAAATCAGTTATTTTCCAATGCATGTCATTGCAGAGGGGCTGCTAGCTATGGTGGCTGATGCAAAAATGCCATTGGCCCTATCTAGAGTCACTGTTTTGTTTGTCTGTTCTGGGCTACTGTAGAAACAGTGTTGCAACATGGCTTTGAGGAAGAGGACCTGCTCCCTACGTAGATATAAACAGCTAATTTTAAACACAACATTTTTTGTTTTCTGGTGATTATACACTAAATAAAACATACTTATTATATAATGCTACATTTCTGCCAATATAAATCCTAAATCCTACACACTGGACCTTTAACTGCAGTCTGACTGCTGGTTCCAAACTCTGTGGGTGTGTTTGTGAGGGAAATAAAAGCACTTTATCTTACAGTCTTCTGTGTGCTTACATGCATTCCCTTACCCTAGGTTTATGCGGCGTGTATGTACAGGCAGGCCAGGAGGTACAGTGAGCAGGGAGCGGAAGGTACAGTGCACTTCGCTGGCCTGGTAGCAGTTACAGCTCCTGGGACAGGCCTGGCCCATGGGCACCACAAGTGTCAGCACCAGTAAAGTCAGCAGTGCCGCCGGCACACACACACTCCGAAACATCTTCACTCCACCAGAGGAGAAGTCACACTGGGATTAACGCTGCCAGAGAGAAAAGGGAGTTGAAGTCTGATGAAGGGGAGCAAAGTGCACAGCAGTGACATGTCTCAAAATCCAGATGGGAGACTCTCTCTCTTTCTCTCTTTCTCTCTGCACCTCCGCACACACACACACATACACACACACACAAGTCAAGGCAGTTTTATTCATACAGCCCAAAAACAGAAATTTAACTCAAGGGGATTTGCAATCTGTACAACACATGACACTCTATCCTTAGATCTACACTGACACATTGCACCTGTCTGAAACAAAACAGCCCTTTGGGCTATCTACACATGCGCATGCGCGTGCCAAGTAGGTTGTTTGAATGACAGATATATCACCGCATAGATCAAAAAGCCAGGGGGATTTATTATTTACAGGAAAACAAAGGGGATACGTAAAATAAGACCCTATAGAAACTCTCCTGCGCTCTCCCCCTCTGTCCCTCTCTTATCTAATCTCACACAAGCGCACAAATGCACATATCCCATTCAAATACATCAAAGCAGCTGCAGAACCATACTTCGAGAGACTTTTTCAACTTGAAGATGACATTAAAGCAAATTACGCACGGTCGCATGAAGTATCCGAGATTAATAGATCACTGTGCATAATTCATAAGAGCATACCTTGAAATCCTTTGGAGTTATTTCACAGAGTTATTCATTTTGCCCATCAAATACTGATTTTAATCCACTTGTACTGATCGGAAACTTGAAATGCAATTAACCTGCTGTTCCACCAATAAAGTCCGAGATGGAAGGTCCCAAAAAAGTTGTCACATAAGATGTCACTGAAGAGAGTGAGGGAGAAAAAAAGTAGTCACACTTTTGTCAACTCCGCACAACAGCCACAGAAAGCTTTTAGTAACATCCAACAGGTCTTCATGCGCGTCTCCTGGAGAAAGAAAAGTAGCGCTGGAAGCGGCAGGCGGGCTGTTTGCAAAAGCGTCTGGCTCTGTGTGAATGTGCGTGTGCGCGTTTGTGCGGATGACAGTGGATGTGTGTGAATGTGTATTTGAGCTGAGGGAAGAGGGGACTGGACTGAAGTGAACTTTGAGTGACGCTCGGGCTGAGGGGTTTGTCTAAGGAGGGGCTTTCTGGAAACACAGAGGTAACGAGTCACCGCGCTTCAGGGTGCTCTTTTCAAATCTTTTCACGCTGCATGGAGGCCACAGAAGAGGACCTCTGTCTGATGAGCTGCAGCTCATTTTACATCATCTGTCTCAACTGTTGCACAACTCATTTATAACTTGTCAGATCACTCTATCTCCGCCAAGTTTGCGAATTACATGTAATTAGGGGAGGATTTATAGCTTATTGATTGATGCCATCAGTGTAAGCTGCTTAAATAAATACTATTTTTCCTACATTTGGTGGAAGCTGCAGCAAGACCTTAAAGATTTTTTAAAACTTCTAGATCTAAATCTCTTCCATTATTCTCACCCCACCCCTCCCAGATTTATTAATTCATTAATTTATTCATTTTGACCAATGAAACTTCTCCTTAAAGTTGTAGTTGGTATCTTTTATTTTTTAAAACAAAAACCTTTTTTCATATTTGCTGAAATTGTCACTGTATTCATATTTCACTAAATGAGGCAGATAATCTGTAGGAAAAAACAAAACAAAACATGCTCATCTGCCGACTCCATTGCCTTGTAGCTTATCTAATTGCCTTACAACATGTGACAAAACAACCAATCAGAGCTGAGGAGTCTCTAGTGCAGCAGTCAGTCATGTCAATCACTGCTTGCCAATCAAAATGAAGTTGCTGCATTCAGTCAGCTGTAACCCTCATGGCAGCCAGGTCACAAACGTTCTCATTTGACAGCTAAACAGTGCACTCAAATATGTTCCTAAAAGCATTTGAGTGAGAAATATGCAATGCAGTAACTGAATATTGATTCATATTTGATCAGAGCTGCCTGACAGCAGCTTATAAGCACTGATTTAAATGATTGACAGCTGCTTTAGAGACTCTGCTGCTCTGATTGGTTGCCATTAGAAACAGTAGGAAGAGGAGGGACATGATTTCTTTCAAAGACTATTTTTCTCATGTACTTCTTTCAGAATATAGTGACAGTCTCAGCAAATATGACACAGTTATTTTTGTAAACGGTACCAACTGTAGCTTTAATGTGTAAAAGCTGTTTCAGTGAGTTTTCCATACTGCAAACATACAATACTAAATTCCCTTCCTTGATTTAAATGAATTGAATTGAATATTTTTAATCAGTAACAGCCAATGTAAAGATTTTTAATCTAAGATATGTCACATTTAGCCTGATGCTACCCTTCATGGGTCGTGAAAGCCAATCACATTCCCAGAAATAACACAGAGGACATGACCCCCGTGTCATCAATGGTAGCTATGTGGTCCTAGGTTGCAGAATTTTCTGGATAAAACATCCACCTATTGCCAGTTGGTGCTGTTTGTTTACAAGGTTTCAGCCCAGGACTGTAAAGTTGTTGTATTGTTGTACAAGTGTGGTGTTAGGGGCTCCAGCTATCTCCATTCCATGCCCCTTTGACCCCATTCAGTTTAAGGGACAGTGGGACAATAAAGCCCAGACCGAGCAAATACTGGACTTTGTGTTTCAGTAGAGTCGTCCATAGTTCCACACAGTTCTCATGAAATGTACGTGAGGGCAACTAAATAAAGAATTGTCCCCTCTTTCGTGTCATCTTGGATTCTCAGGCACCCCGTAATGATCACACCACCTTCTGAGAGACTTAAATGAAGGGAGAGTCAAAATAGATTGATGCTTCTCAGCTGTTGTCTCAGCACAGTAACCCCCGACCCACCATCCTTACAGAGCCTGCCTTTGTGTAAGTGGCCCCTTCCACATAACATTGGTTTGTTTAGACAGAAGTTTCTAACATCCAAATCAAGTTTTCATATACAAAGTGATCTCAGTTTAAGGCAGCGGGGCGACGGAGCAGCAGCAGATGTGAGAATAGGGTCATGACTGAATCCTCACATCAGCTGCCTGAATAATGGATTGTAATATTAATCTTGAATGACTGTTTATCCCCCCAGCTTGACAAGCGAACGTCCGTAAATATCTTTGAAGATGCAATTTGAAGCTTCACATTCACCAGCAAATTCCACTCTGGTGATTTTCAACAGATGACCCAGTCTCCACCACCCTCTAACCCATGTCTCTGCAGGCCATGTTGGTGTGTGGGGGCTTAACGGTTCCTCATGCTGCACTGATTTCCTTGTAGCTGTGATATGGCTGTGAAAAGCATTAGGCCCAATCCCAGCTCACTTCATTACAATAGTCATCACTGTATTGGAATGTATTGGACCATAATAAATGGATCAGTGTCTGTCTGACTGGAAGGAAGGAACGAATCAAGACATAATGTAATATCAATGGCACTTTGGGGGAGGTGAATGGCTGAATTAATGAATGAAGGGAGACAGAAGAAAGGGAGAAGGGAAAGGGAATAAAAGGCACTATAGCATGTTGTTGACTTATTTAATGGACAGAGACCAGCTAAATGAATATTGAATGAATCGGTCAATGAATCAATGAATGAATTGTTTACTGCACTTAGTCTCATTTACACTTGCGACACATACAGTATGGTCCGCAAAAACTAAAGTTCCAGTCTGGCTCTCTACGCCTCTGGCCAGCCTCTCCTCTGAGATTTTAAAAAGTACACTGGTCATCAGTGCTCTCTATCTTTTTTGTCTCTGGGGTTTGGTGCTATCTAGGTCAACCAATGGAGTGCTGAGTCATGAATTCAGGAAGTAAACAGCTCAGTGCTGAGAAGAGACCAGCTTGCTGATACATAATTTCAAATCATGTGCATTATGTATTCTTTTTGATCTGTCTTTGATGTGTGAATAAACTCTTTCTCTAAAGTCCTGGCTAAAAAAAAAATCATTGCATTCTATTAAGTTATGTTTGTTTCCCAGTTCTGATATTTGCATTATTGAACTTGACTGCAGTGCGTTCCTTTCCTCACTGTTGTAGCTTTTCTCTCGCGTCACAGTACATTTTGTATTTGTTCTTACTGTGTCAGAAAAGCTTAGGGCGATACAAAATAAAAACATGGAGGGGGAACAGGGACGGTACAAGGGCAGAGGTGTTTACACAGATGTCTGGCACCATTCACCTGCATAAAAACATGATCATTTTGTCTTTACTGTCTTACTTAGTTTATGCATCTTGGAAAAGAAAAAAGAAAACATATTCATCCACAAATGTCCCCCCTCCATCAAGGTCACACCAAAAAGTGAAAACAGGAATAGAGGCATCAGAAAGGGCAGGAAGCCAAGAGCTATCCTTAGCAAGGCCGAGACCTCCAATTACATTCTTCATGACCTCTGGGCTCCAAGCAGGTTAAGGCTGTGGGCTCATAAAGTGCTGGTTAAAGGCAAAAACAGGTTGTCCAGCACAGACCAAACACTCTTATTGAAATCAGCATTCTTTATTTTATTAAATTTTTTTGTCTTGGCCTGTTTCACCTTTATTGGACCGGTGTAAGTGTGGAAGCAGGCTGGGAATGGGGAGACATGTAAGATAGGCTTTGTTTAGACTAGGGGCCAGATCATTTTTTGGCATATCCAGATTGATTTTAGGAAATCTGGACGTCAGAAACACATTTGGAAATGCAATTTTCGCAAATTTAATCCAAACCACATGTGGAGGTGGTCTGAAATGCGATTCTGGTCAAATTTCTACAGGTGTCTCAGCCCAGATGCTCTGGCTGCTCAAATCAGATTTCAGAGTGTCCTTGAACACAACACACAAAAACAACATCCAATCCAACATGAAAAGACGTACTGAGCAGATCCAGAGTGCTAAAGAGGACATCATGAGGAACAAAAGTCCATGGACAGGCACCGAAATAAACTGTTAGGCAGGTGAAATTATGGACCTTCATTTTTCATGCTTCTGTGTTGGACAGATGCGTAGTTACCGACACCAGCGTCATTACCACAGCAACCTGTGCAGATCGGTTGGTGGACGCACAAATCTGATCTGTTTAATTGTAATTAACAGCGCAGCCAAGATCTGATTTGAGAAGCGAATCTGATTTGCATGCAGTCTGAACATAGCCAAAGATCCTCCAGTGGAAGCGGGGATGTTGCCGTTACGCAGCATGTGCTGTAACCGTTTTGGTTTCCAAGCTGGTTTGACATCAGCGTTCTTCATAGGTCCGTTTTCTGCTACTGAAAATGACAGATTGATTATTATTGATTGGTTTGAGGCATGGCCCAAGAAACTTATCACATGGAATACTCTATGTTAACATTTATGAAAGTTGTATAGCATATTGTGTACTATCTCCACACAATGTCACCTTACTTAGCTTTTTCTTAATCAAATAAAACATATTAAATTTGTGTTCCTGATAACGTCCACTCTGCGGTAAATTATCGGATGGCAGTAACTGAAGCATGTTTATTATTATATTTTAGTGCTCACAGCATTTTTAAGTTAGAGAAAGATCATGGTGCGTATTTGCGTTATTAACATCCTTCTGCAGACGCTGTATATCACCAGGCGATAATTATACTCCCAATTACTACTTTTAAATCTTGATTATTTTGTCTAAATCAAGTCTGACTAACACTGCCACAATCCTTTAAGATTTATGGTTTTCACGACAGCTAATATTCCTGAAGTCTGACCTTGAAGAAGGAGTGCTGTCTCAGAGCCTGAGACCGCTGTGGGGCACCAGGACCAGGACCTTGTGGTCTATTATTGATTTGAGGCTCCAGCACTCCATGAGGTCAAGGCTTGTCTGGCTGAGCGAGGGCCTGGAGCTTAGCAGCCGAGTAGGCGGCCATGGCAGGGATCCACTGGGCTGGTGGTTGGATGGTCACAAGGACTTATTTTTAAATGTGTTAGCTTTACTCTCAGTTGGAAACAAAGTTATTTGAGATGGCTAGCTGGGGGAGGGCGAGCAATTATGCTAAGAAAACTGAATCT